TTGATCAAATAAGCTATGTTTGGTCAAACAACTAAAAATTGATTGAATTAAGTACATTTAGGTTAGATTTTTATACTTATTATAACTAAATAAAAAATTAAGAGAAAAAACTGAGTAGTTGTAAAGTAGTTTCTAAATATTTAATTGAAGTTTGTCAAAAAAAGAAAAAAAATTAAAACATACATCATTTAGTTGTCTATCATTCAAAAAAAGAAAAAATACGTGAAGATACTCAATTAAAAGAACAAAGTGGAGCATTAATTATGTAATAAATGAGACGTGATAAAGAAAATGATGGTATTAAATAACAGCTATCATAAATATCATAAGACGCTGCTCAAAGCAGCGTTTCAAAACTTGGCGTTTCAATGCAAAAACGCTGAATACCAAATACAATTTTTAGCTGGTCAACTGCTCAAATAAGTTAAGTTTGGTTAAACGGCTAAAAATTGACTGAAACGTGATAAAACTAACAGGGCCACATGTTTGAAAAAAAAAAACCCTCTTTGTGATATAAGCTCTACATTAAAACTCGCATATGTACTTGATTGAAAAAGATAAAATCATTTGTCTTAAAAGATTTTTTCGCGGCAAATTAATGAAGTAAGACGCTACAAAGCATATAGAGATGAGTTAAAGATCAAGCTCTTTAACTAGGGCATTGTCTTCAAAATTTCCGGACATTGACCAAAATTGATTTTTGGTTCAACCACCGAGTTATCAAATCATTTGCATAATCGGATAATTAATTTTAAAAATCATTTCCACCTATATTATTTCAAAATATCAATAAAAATAACAAAATAAATGATTTATATGTAAAATGAAAAAAAATGTCAAAGTCTAAATATTAATGTCCCATATAAAATTATAATAAATCTGTACCACATGAATATATATAAATAGTTAAATACCTTATTTTCTAAAAATTAAATGCATATTAAAAATAATAATAATAATAAATAAATTTTATTTAGTTTTATACATATCATAGTCTTACTATCACTGTTCCTCGTTTTAAAAGATGACCACGTTAATTATAAGCATACACAAAGTTTTATTGTAATATTTAATCTATTTTAAAAAATAACCAAAATTATATTTTACACGTAAGCTTTATATTTTAAAGTCTTAATATTATCTGGATTATCATAAATATTTATCACATAAAAATATATGAATAATTTTTAGGCAACAACAATATATTAAAACCGCCTGGCCAACTGAGTTGACTGCCCGAGTCGATGCCTAGACTAGAGTCGGGCTATTCGGATTAATAGCGGATAAAAAAGAAAAAAAACATTTACACCTTAACTGACCCAAGTTCGACTTCGTGTTGATAGTATTCAGAGTCAACCCATCAGGCCGGTCCTAATTACAAGTGTAGTTCTCTCATGTGTAATATAACGCTTGTTGGCACAAAACTTTCAGCCTTCTTGACATTATGGAAATGCTACAGTTATGAAACAATTCCGTCGAGATTTGTAACAGTTAGATTATCATGTAACCGTCGTGGATAGTTGATCTAATGGTTACAAATTACGACGAAATGATTCCGTAACGAGACCGTAAAATTTGCCGTTTATATATATCTCGGCCAAAATCAATTCTTCATGGTTTGTATGTCCAAAAACTGAAAAGTATAAGAAAAAAAAGTAAGGTAGAGTTGTTGGGATTTATTACGAACGGGTATGATTGAGTTATTCATGAAGATTGATAGTTTTTTGTGGTCACCTAACATTGACGTGTAGTTATTGGTTCTTAACGTGGCCCCCTTTGATATTAATAATTTGGATTTGCGTAGTTGTTTTTGTATCAATAGTTATTATAATTATTTTTATTTTTTTCTCACTTCTATCAATCATTTCTATATTTGGGAATTTAAATTCGTATTTAATTAGCTAATTTGATAAGACAACAATTTATGGCTACATTGACAAAGACACCACATTTATAATCACCAGCTAATACCCTTTTTTTTTTTTTTAATAACTTGTGAACATACACGAACCATGTCATTTGATTATACTAAAAATTGAAAAATAAATAAATAAAAAGATTGATGAATAAATAAATATATAAAAAGATTATACTAATACATTTATTTTATTTATTTAACACTTGTGAACATACATGAACCATGTCATTTAATTATACTAAAGATTGATAAATAAATGAATAATATATAAAAAAAATGAATTATCGATTATAAAAGTTTTTGTTGTACACGACATTATATATCTAATGATTGGTCTTCTTTGTATAACAATATTCTGTTCTTTTTTATTGATCAATTTTTAAATTATCAGTATAAATTTTTATGATTGGAACTTTCAAAATCATTAGTACACTAGACATTGACTTTAAAAATTATACGAAAAAAATGGGATTCAGATTGTGGCATAAGATCTTCCAAATTTGTTACTAAAACTAATGGAATTCAAATTTTGTTATTAAAGATGCACATGAGTTTTTTTTTTT